CATAAATGGGTGTTGAATTTTGTCAGAAACTTTTTCTGCATCTATTGAGATTTTCATATGGTTTTTATCCTTCAGTTTGTTAATATGGTGTATCACATTGATTGATTTGCATATATTGAAGAATCCTTGCATTCCTGGGATAAACCCCACTTGATCATTGGTGAATGATCCTTTTAATGTGCTGTTGGATTCTGTTTGCTAGTATTTTGTTGAGGATTATTGCATCTATGTTCATCAGTGATACTGGCCTGAAGTTTTCTTTTATTGTGACGTCTTTGTCTGGTTTTGGTATCAGGGTAATGGTGGCCACGTAGAATTAGTTTAGGAGTGTTCCTCCCTCTGCAATATTTTGGAAGAGTTTGAGAAGGATATGTGTTAGCTCTTCTCTAAATGTTTGAAAGAATTCACCTGTGAATCCATCTGGTCCTGGGCTTTTGTTTGTTGGAAGATTTTTAATCACAGTGTCAATTTCAGTGCTTGTAATCAGTCTGTTTATATTTTCTGTTTCTTCCTGGTTCAGTCTCAGAAGACTGCTTTTCTAAGAATTTGTCCATTTCTTCCAGGTTGTCCATTTCATTGGCATACAATTGACTGTAGTAATTTCTCAGGATCCTTTGTATTCCGGCAGTGTCAGTTCTTACTTCTCCTTTTTCATTTCTAATTCTATTGATTTGAGTCTTCTCCCTTTTTTCCTTCATGAGTCTGGCTAATGGTTTATCAATTTTGCTTATCTTCTAAAAGAACAAGCTTTTAGTTTTATTGATCTTTGCTATCGTTTCCTTCATTTCTTTTTCATTTACTTCTGATCTGATCTTTATGATTTCTTTCCTTCTGCTAACTTTGGAGGTTTTTTGTTCTTGTTTCTCTAATTGCATTAGGTATAAGGTTAGGTTGTTGATTGGAGATGTTTCTTGTTTCTTGAGGTAGGATTGTATTGCTATAAACTTCCATCTTAGAACTGCTTTTGCTGCATCTCATAGGTTTTGGGTTGTCATGTTTTCATTGTCATTTGTTTCTAGGTATTTTTTAATTTCCTCTTTGATTTCATCAGTGATCTCTTGGTTATTTAGTAGCGTATTGTTTAGTCTCCATGTGTTTGTATTTTTTACAGATTTTTTTCCTGTAACTGATATCTATTCTCATAGTGTTGTAGTCAGAAAAGATACTTGATACGATTTCAGTTTTCTTGAATTTACTGAGGCTTGACTTGTGACCCAGGATATGATCTATCCTGGAGAATGTTCCATGAGGACTTGAGAAGAAAGTGTATTCTGTTATTTTAGAGTGGAATGTCTTATAAATATCAATTAAGTCAATCTTGTTTAATGTATCATTTAAACCTTTTTTTACTTATTTTTAATTTTGGATGATCTGTCCATTGGTGAAAGTGGGGTGTTAAAGTCCAGTACTATGATTGTGTTGCTGTCCTTTTCCCCTTTTATGGCTGTTAGCTTTTGCCTTATATATTGAGGTGCTCCTATGTTGGGTGCATAAATATTTACAATTTTTTTTTTTTTTTTTTTTGTGGTACGCGGGCCTCTCACTGTTGTGGCCTCTCCCGTTGTGGAGCACAGGCTCCGGACACACAGGCTCAGCAGCCATGGCTCACGGGCCCAGCCGCTACGCGGCATGTGGGATCTTACCGGACCGGGGCACGAACCCATGTCCCCTGCATCGGCAGGCGGACTCTCAACCACTGCGCCACCAGGGAAGCCCTACAATTTTTATATCTTCTTTTTAGATTGATCCCTTGTTCATTATGTAGTGTCCTTATTTGTCTCTTTTAATAGTCTTTATTTTAAAGTCTATTTTGTCTGATATGAGAATTGCTACTCCAGCTTTCTTTTGATTTGTATTTGCATGGAATATGTTTTTCCATCCCCCACTTTCAGTCTGTATGTGTCCCTAGTTCTGAAATGGGTCTTTGTAGTCAGCATATATTGGGTCTTGTTTGTGTATCCATTCAGCCAGTCTATGTCTTTTGGTTGGAGCATTTAATCCATTTACATTTAAGATAATTATTGATATGTATGTTCCTATTACCATTTTCTTAATTGTTTTGGGTTTGTTATTGTAGGTCTTTTCTCTCTTGTGTTTCCTGCCTAGAGAAGTTTCTTTAGCATTTGTTGTTAAGCTGGTTTGGTGGTGCTGAATTCTCTTAGCTTTTGCTTGTCTGTAAAAGTTTTAATTTCTCCATCGAATCTTAATGAGATTCTTCCTGGGGAGAGCAATGATGGTTGTAGGTCCTTCCCTTTCATCACTTTAAATACGTCATGCCACTCCCTTCTGGCTTGCAGAATTTCTGCTGAAAGATCAGCTGTTAACCTTATGGGGATTCCCTTGTATGTTATTTATTGTTTTTCCCTTGCTGCTTTTAATATTTTTTCATTGTATTTAATTTTTGATAGTTTGATTAATATGTGTCTTGGCATGTTTCTCCTTGGATTTATCCTGTATGGGATTCTCTGCGATTCCTGGACTTGATTGACTGTCTCCTTTCCCATATTAGGGAAGTTTTCAGGTATAATTTCTTCAGATATTTTCTCACTTTCTTTTTCTCTTCTTCTCCTGCGACCCCTATAATTTGAATGTTGGTGCATTTAATGTTGTCCCAGAGGTCTCTGAGACTGTCCTCAATTCTTTTCATTCTTTTTTCTTTATTCTGCTCTGCAGTAGTTATTTCCACTATTTTATCTTCCAGGTCACTTATCTGTTCTTCTGCCTTAGTTATTCTGCTATTGATTCCTTGTAGAGAATTTTTCATTTCATTTATTGTGTTGTTCATCATTGTTTGTTTGCTCTTTAGTTCTTCTAGGTACTTGTTGAACATTTCTTGTATTTTCTCCATTCTATTTTCAAGATTTTGGATCATCGTTACTGTCATTACTCTGAATTCTTTTTCAGGTAGCTGCCCATTGCCTCTTCATTAGTTTGGTCTGGTGGTTTTTACCTTGCTCCTTCATCTGCTGTGTATTTCTCTGTCTTCTCCTTTTGCTTAACTTACTGTGTTTGGGGTCTCCTTTTGGCAGGCTGCAGGTTTATAGTTCCTATTGTTTTAAGTGTCTGCCCCCAGTGGGCATGGTTGGTTCAGTGGGTTGTGTTGGCTTCCTGGTGGAGGGGACTGGTGCCTGTGTTCTCGTGGATGAGGCTAGATCTTGTCTTTCGGATGGGCAGGACCACGTCAGGTGGTGTGTTTTGGGGTGTCTGTGACCTTATGATTTTAGACAGCCTCTCTGCTAATGGGTGGCGTTGTGTTCCTGCCTTGCTAGTTGTTTGGCATAGGGTGTCCAGCACTGTAGCTTGCTGGTCATTGAGTGGAGCTGGGTCTTAGCGTTGAGATGGAGATATCTGGGAGAGCATTCGCTGTTTGATGTTACATGGAGCTGGGAGGTCTCTGGTTGGCCAATTTCCTGAACTCAGCTCGCCCACCTCAGAGGCACAGTCCTGACTCATGGCCGGAGTACCAAGACATTGTCAGCCACATGGCTCAGAAGAAAAAGGAGAAAAAAAGAAGGAAAGAAAGAAAAAAGTAATTTAAAAAAAGAAAGAGAGAGCAACCAAACCAAAAAATAAATCCACCAATGAGAGCAAGCACTAAAACCTATACCAAAAAAAACAGACAGACAGAACCCTAGGATAAATGGTAAAAGCAAAGCTATACAGACAAAATCACACAAAGAAGCATACACATACACACTAACAAAAAGAGATAAAGGAAAAATATATATATATATATATCTCCATATATTTAAAAACAAGGAGGAAGAGAGCAACCAAATCAATAAACAAATCCACCAGTGATAACAAGCACTAAAAACTAGACTAAGATAAACGTAAAACCAGAAACAAATTAGATGCAGAAAGCAAACCCCAAGTCTACAGTTGCTCCCAAAGTCCACCACCTCAATTTTGGGGTGACTTGTTGTCCATTCATGTATTCTACCAATGCAGGGTACATCAAGTTGATTGTGGAGATTTAATCCGCTGCTCCTGAGGCTGCTGGGAGAAATTTCCCTTTCTCTTCTTTGTTAGCACAGCTCCTGGGGTTCAGCTTTGGATTTGACCCCCCTCTGCATGTAGGTCGCCTGAGAGCATCTGTTCTTCGCCCAGACAGGACGTGGTTAAAGGAGCAGCTGATTAGGTGGCTCTGGCTCACTGAGGCCGGGGAAGGGAGGGGTACGGAATGCAGAGCAAGCCTGTGGTTTCAGAGGCCGGCGTAATGTTTTAACAGCCTGAGGCGCACCATGTGTTCTCCTGGGGAAGTTGTCCCTGGATCACAGGAATGGCAGTGGCTGGCTGCACAGTCTCCCAGGAAGGGAGGTGTGAATAGTCACCTGTGCTTGCACACAGGCTTCTTGGTGGCTGCAGCAGCAGCCTTAGCATTTCATGCCCGTCTCTGGTGTCACCTCTGATAGCCACGGCTCGCGCCCATCTCTGGAGCTCGTTTCGGCAGTGTTCTGAATCCCCTCTCCTTGCGCACCCCTAAACAATGGTCTCTTGCCTCTTAGGCAGCTCCAGACTTTTTCCAGGGCTCCCTCCCGGCTAGCTGTGGCATACTAGCCCCCTTCAGGCTGTGTTCATGCAGCCAACCCCTGTCCTCTCCCTGGGGTCTGACCTCCGAAGCCTGAGCCTGAGCTCCCAGCCCCCGCCTGCCCCAGCGGGTGAGCAGACAAGCCTCTCAGGCTGATGACTGCTGGTCGGCACCAATCCTCTGTGCGGGAATCTCTCCGCTTTGCCCTCTGCACCCCTGTTGCTGCTCTCTCCTCCATGGCTCTGAAGCTTCTCTCCCGCCACCCCCCCTCCCTGTCTCCACCAGTGAAGGGGCTTCCTAGTGTGTGGAAACTTTTCCTCCTTCACAGCTCCTTCCCAGAGGTGCACGTCCCTTCCCTATTCTTCTGTCTCTGTTTATTCTTTTGCCCTACTCAGGTACGTGGGGAGTTTCTTGCCTTTTGGGAAGTCTAAGGTCTTCTGCCAGCGTTCAGTAGGTGTTCTGTAGGAGTTGTTCCACATGTAGATATATTTCTGATGTATTTGTGGGGAGGAAGGTGATCTCCACGTCTTACTCCTCCGCCATCTTGAAGGTCTCCCAGTGGTTTAATTTGTAATAATATTTACATCCAACTATTGCACAAGAAACAGAAAAAAAAAACTGAACGACCATGTTTTTGTTCACTTTTACCAAGCATTGGCTTTTATGATTGTGAATCAAAAAAGCAAACTCTTTTCTTTAATAGGGGCTTTCACTGCTGTTAACCGGGACCAAAGTCTGTCAGTGTGTATTGCTTTCAACATTGTTATATATCAACAAGTAGTGAATTTGTGACTATTTGTAGGACACTATGTTAAAAGTTCTGAAAGAAGTAAAAATGAGTGGGACATGGCAACTGCCCTCAAGTAATGTACAACCTAATCGGGACATCCACACTGACATGAATAACTGCCTTACAAGGCAGAGTGGAGGAAGAGTCGTGAGTGCATTTCGTTAGAACGGTTTTTGACTGCAAATAACAGAAAGCTAAATTAAACCAGCTTAACGAGAAGGAAATTTGGTGTAATGCAAAAGACAAAATACAGAGTTCGGGCAGGCTGCAGAGGTTCAACTGTGTCGTCCGGGATGCACTTCCTCCCATCTCTCTCAAGGTGCCAGTCACAGCATTGGTTCATCCTAAGGCTGGTGGCCTTGCTAGAAAATGACTGCCAGCAGCAGTCAGAGCAACACGCTTCTTTTTTCACATCCAGCAGGAGAGAAAGGCTGGGTTCTTTCTCCAAAATCCCTTTCCTAGTATTGTATTGGCTCATGTTCGAACTCAGGCCTGATAGGAGGAATAGGGTTACCTTGAATGACTTAGCCTAATCCTTAGGGTAGAAGAGAGGGTAGGGAGCCAGAGGCCATAGGCACCCAGGTGCAGCAAAGGAATTAGACCCGAGGAAGATCCTGTCATTCCCAAAACTTCTGTAGGTTCCTTGGGGTTTGGTGGGTTATCTTGAAGTTCAGAACTGCCAGCAGTATAGGCAATAGGCAACACTTAGTATGGGAAAAATATTTTTAAAGCCTCTGAGAAATGATTCATTATGCCTCTGTGACATTTCTAAATTTGGGTAAGAGGAATACCTCAGTATTCTCCCTTTCTCCCAAAGTCAGATAATCATTCTAAAGTGGTTGCCAAGCATTTTTTAAACTGATATTTCTAGCTCCTTCCAAAACAGTCTGTCACTAAACTCACCCACTCTACATAGGAGGGGAAGAAGAAGGACAAGTTGCAGTGATATTACTTTTTATAGAGACATTAATTCTTCAGTTTTGTCAGCTTTTGAAGGGTAATAAGATGCTTTCAATCTTATGCCTCTTAGCCGTGGGCACCCTGCCCCATTCTGAGTCCATACCTGGTCCTTTGCACTTAATTGTAAGGTTGTTTTTTTGATTTTTAAATTTTTAATGTTTACAATATGCCATGTGCTGCCATGTGCTGCTCATTATAGGTGTTATAAGCTCATTAAAGGCAAGAACTCATTAATTTTCGTAACAACCCCTGAAATAGGAATTATATTATTCTAACTTTACAGGTGAGAATACTGAGCCTCAGAGAGATTGAGTAACTAACCCAAGATCACACAGCAGTCAGTGACAGAGCTGGGATTTGAATCTAGACACTCACGTTCCAGAGTCTATATTCTTACTTATAACATCACAGAATTACACATAAACTGTCAACTTTCTTCACCAAACAAGAAGTAAAACTTCAGTGATTGATTCAGACATACCTTAGGCACTGTCAAAATTTCTCCATTTTTAACTCTTTATAAATCAAGGGATCCCTCATTCACATTTAGTCGTTCATTTATCTGTTCATTAAACACGTATTCATTGATCCCTCACATGTGCTAGTCACTGTGGTGGGTGCCCAAAGCTTACAGTCTAGTGGGAGATACAGAAAAAATCCAACACAGTGTAGTAAGAGCTACAACAGAGGAGGTGACAGGTGCCACTGGAGCACAGAAGTCCAACGTGGGGATCAGGAAAGGCACACGGATAAGTGACAGCTTAGGTACATTTTGAAGAATGAGTTAGGTAGGTAGAAAGAAGAAGATAGTACCAAAAGGAAATAACCGTGGCCAGTGAGTGAGGGATATAGCAGGGTACAAGAGACCAAAGAAGGGCCATACTAAAGAGTTTAAACTTTATCCTAAGAGTAGTGGGTATAACCTGAAGGGTAATCAGAAAACTTAGATAACAACATTCAAATAAGTCATTAATGAGGAAGAAAGTGTTGTTTCTGAGAAAACTTAGAGGAGAAAGGGAATTAACATTTGTTGAACACCTAATGTATGAAGGAGCCTGATGCTTTGGACATTGATTTGTCATTCAGTAAGAACTTTTCAAGGTTTAATTTCCCCCATTATAGAGTTCCGAAAAGTTAGGTAACCTATGGAAAGACCTAGAATTTGAAATCTATCTGATTTCAAAACCAATACCTTTTTTTCTCACTATCCATTATGAAGCCCCCCAGAGATTCTACAAGCCGAAGACCCAAAAAGAGAAAGGGTTCCTTCCCACGAACCCATATTCATCCTGTGATATGATATCCTCTTTAAAGAAAAATAATAGTTGTACATAAAAGAACTAAATATCACTCTGAGAAATTTCAGATCTTTTAATTACAAGCATCAGAGAATAAAGACCTGAAAATATAAGCAAAAGAAGAAACAACAACAAAAACACCTGATATGCAGCCAGGATAGAAACTTGATCACCACTGAAAGTATCTTCTCTGCTTCCCCTGAAAAAGGAAGAATAATCCCCATCCCCATGTCCCCAGGGAGAGCACAAAGGTCCCTGGAGCTTCCTTGAGTTGCTCAGGGCATCACTGTGTATATTTGCAAAGTATGCCAACCCTAAAAGGATGTGAGGTCCATTTCTCTTTCTGACAGGGTGATCCTGCACGCCTCGGCTTCTCGCTGGAGAGCAAGCTTCAGGAGAAGAATGCTCATTATTCACTAGCGCAAAGTCTTTGTTGTGTTCCCATGAATAACTTATAGCTGTGTGGGCTCAGGAGCAGAGGCCCTCACAGGGCAGACGTGACCGCATCATACACTGAATCCTGATCCCCCTCCCAGGAGAAAATGGAATACTTGCTCAGTTCATGTTTCGCCAAGACAGGCTCTTCAACTATTTATAAGTTGAATAGAAATTTCCACTACTTCAGCTGACACAACTGGCTCTACCTAGCAACTGATAAGAGAGATCCAATTGGAGCCTTTAGAAAGCCAGCTTTGGCAAAAGGCAGTAGTGGCAGGGAAGGGGACAAAGTCGTCACCAAGGGAATTTCTCCTCCAGCGGGCACTGCTCTTCTCCTCCTCGTTCTTTCTCCTGCGCCACCACAACTAAGACCCCATGTCTACAGCTTGTTGATGGATATTGCCACTAGCTTTTTGCAAACATGCCTATAGGTAGGTGCCTGTGCCTTATCAATGCTTATTAAGGACTCATTGAAATTGACACTGATCAATATCTCAGTGCCCTTCTTTTTCTGGAATGAGGGCTGTCACTTCTAATTCAGTCCTATTCAATTCAAAACAGATTCACTGAGGACCTTCAGTGTACTGGTTCTGGGAATTTAAAGATTAATAAAATTCAGTCCTTGCCCTCCAAAGGCTTAAAACCTAGTAGGGGAACAGGCAAACAGAAAATATTATCCGAGATAACTGCTCTGCCACAGAAAAAACACAAGGAGCCGAGGAGGTCACTTAACCCAAGCTGGAGGATTACTTTATTAATAACACATGCAAACCCAGTGCGGTGTACATTCCTCACTTTATTTAATCCTCATAACAACCCTCCCCATGAGGCTAGTCCTACTACTAAACTAATTTTTCAGGTCGGGAAACCCAGGCTCAGAGAGGTTAAGTGGCTTGCTCAATCTGACAAAGCAAGTGGCAGATATAAAATTCAAACAGCCCAGTTTAACCACAAAGACCATGCACTTACTTATAAAATTGTATTGCCTCTTAGCAGCAATTTGCAGAGTTTAATGTTCATGATTATATTCATTTATTATTCAAGAAACATTTGCTAAATTTCTACTATGTTCAAGGCACTAAAAGGAACAAAACAGTACTATGGGGTGGTTCTGGACCTCTGGTACTTGCCTTTGAAGATCATTATAGGCAAAGAGTTTTGAATGAGATCATTCAGCCAATCTGAATATTCTGGAAATATTTGCAGAATACTGTTTTGTACCAGGCACCATGCTTGATTCTGAGCATATGGAGTGATCTTTAAAAAAAGAAAGTGTCTCAGTTCTCCTGGAATTTATATTCTGGAAAATATGCAAGTAAACACATATTGTATTGAAGGTGGTAAGGGCTATGAAGAAAAATCAAGTTGAGCAAGGGGCCGAGGGCAAGGTGAGCGACTGAGGGGAAAACTTGACATTTTGAATTAACCGATCAATAAAGCCTCTCTGAGAATTGGAGAAGAAACCTGGATAAAGAGAAGAAATTAGTTATGTGATCATCTGTGTGAAGAGTATGTATGGCTTGGCAGAAGCAACAGTGAGTGCAAAGACTCCAAGGCAGGCACATATTTCGAGGGTACCAGGAATGGCAATGGGCCAGATCACAATGAGCGAGACTGAGAGCATTAGCAGATGGGTGGGAAGTCAAAGGACAGATTATCCAGGACTTTGGCAGCAGTGTACAAAGTTCCCATTTTCATAGCCAGGGAAAGGAAAACCACTGGAGAACTTTGAGTTGGGGTGGAGGTGTCATACTCTGATTAACTTTTTAACCTTATTCTGGCCTCTCTGTGGAGAACTGATTATGGAGACAAATGAGTAGAAACAGGAAGTCCAATGAGAATATCATACAAGCCTAAATTTGAGATGATGGTAGGTTAAACTAAGGTGGAAACAGTAGAGGTTGTCATATTGGAGATATATTTTTCATGGTAGTGCTGACAGACTAGATTAGATGTGGACTGTGAGGAAAAGGGAAGAGTAAATGCACTTAAATCCCTGGAACGGTGCCTGGGACAGAGTTTTACTCAGCACACAGAAAATCTGCTCCTTACTTAGGGGAAACAAGTCACGCACATAACTAATCACACACAGAGTCCCTAAGAGGAGCCCCAACATTAGTCTAACCTCATGGCCACAACCCAACCATGAGCAAGTAGACGATATTCTACCTCAGTTGCTTTGATCAAACTAGTAAATAGCCTCCATCTGGGTTCAAATAAACCAAGTTGAAGAATTACTAAAGGAATTCTGGTTTTACCAAGTATGAGGGAACTCCTATTCTTGGTGAAATTGTCTGTTACTACTGTAAGTAGAACACAGTTCTATTTATTATAAAACTCAAATATTTCTTTGCAAGAGAAGTCTTCCATGGACCTCCCCCAAGCTAGGTCAGCTCACCTTGTTACAGCCTCTCAACACTCCTGTATCTTTCTAGCACAGCTCTTGTTGGTTTGAAATTTGGTATGTATATATTCGATTCATATATGTCCCCCCAACTGCCATCCCACCCTTCTTAACTTTGAAACATTTGCTGGGAAAAAATATAGTAAGCATTCAAAAATATACGTTGGAAAAATGAATTAGCACTCCCATGTTTATTGCAGCAGTATTCACAATAGTCAAGAAGTAGAAACAAAAAACTAAATATCTAGAAACAGATGAATGGATGAAGAAAATGTGGTATATACATGCAATGGAATACTATTCAGCCTTTTTTTAAAAAAAGGAAAGTCTGTAATATGCAGCAACATGGATGAAACTTGAGGACATTATGCTAAGTGAAACAAACTAGTCAGAAAGACAAATACTACTTGATTCCACTCATATAAGTCATCTAAAATAGTCAAATTCATAGATCTAAGAGTGGAATGGTGGTTGCCAGGGGCTTGGAGAAAAGGAAATGGAGAGTTACTAATCAACAGGCATAAAGTTTCAGTTAGCAAGATTAGAATAAACTCTATAGAGATCTGCTGTACAACATTGTACCTATATTCAATAATAATGTATTTTACACTTAAAATTTTGTTAAAAGTATAGGTCCCATATTAAGTGTTTTTACCACAATAAAATAAAAAATTTTAAAAACAACAATAAAAATGTGCTTAAAAATACATCTCATTCTTGAAACAGAGAGCAAATGACCTATGAAGAAAAATGGAATGATATTTAATAAGTGATGAGCACTTAATTCGATTTTTAAAATTCTATTTATAATCACTAATTACCCTACTAGTAATACACAGAATTTGTCTCAATAGTACCAGAACTGCCACAGAGAAATGCTTCTTACAAGCCATCTAGGACTTTAGGCTGTGGTAAAAGTTTATGGTTTTGTATCAGGGCTTGTGAGATGCATTTGAGATTGACTGGGTATTGACTCAAAATAACTGGTCTCTATAGCTGGATACAAATGAAATGTGTCTCACCTGGATTACAGCTGTAGCCTCCCAACTGTTCTCCTTTCTTCCACCTTGCCCTGTTAAAATTTTCAACACAGCAGCTGGGCAGATCTTTTAGAATATAAGTCACTCTTTTGCATCTCTCCCCATCTCTCTCAGAATAAATGCCAATATCCTTATAATAGTTTCTAACACCTTTGTCAGTCAGGGACCTGTAAGGAAAATAGGTAGCAAAATTAAACTGGTGATTGAAGGGAGTTTAATAAAGGGGCTACTTACAAAGGTGAGGGTGAGGTTTAAAAAGATCAGTTATAGATGGTGCACTACCCTGAGGCTAGGAGCAGTGGAGAGCTATAACCATCTGTAGTCCTAATGGGGCAAGAGGAGAAAGCAGTTACCAATTACATGAGCCCAGGAGAGTAGCTTCATGGAGAGGGCTGCCTGACAGGAGCTGTGGCCTTTGGTAAAAGGGTAGTCACTAAGCAGCAACCCAGCAGGGAAGAAGCCAGGGGAGTAATTTCCTCACCTCAGTATTCTCCAGCCTTCACATCTTCTATTTGTAACTCACATTGGCTAAACCCCACTGGGAGGTGATAGGCCAAGGAGTTTGTTGCTATAGTCCATACATGTCTGCCTTTCAGGGCACAGAACAGTGTGTAAAAGAGAAAAGAATGGATCTGAAGAAACAAGTGGCAAATGTTCAGCTAATGCTCTATGTGATCTGCCCCTTGCCTCTTCTTTGTCCCTCCTGCTGCAGTCATTCTAGCTGCCTTGATATATCTCGACACTCCAGGCACTGTGCAACTTTATAGAGTTTTTGTATTTGCTCTTCCCTCTCTTGGAACACTTTTTCTCTATTATCTACACAGCTCATCCCCTCACTTACTTCAGGCTCAAATGCCACCTTCTCCATATGCAATAAACCTAAAAGCCTATTTACAATTACAGACCACCTCCCCCAGCATCCTAATCCCCTTAACTCTCTTCTGCTTTTTTCTTTCTCCCATTGTATTCAACCCATACTATATCATATATGATACAGAGTTGCACACTTCATTATTTAATTATTATGTCTATTGTTAATTGTCAGCCTCCCCTACTTCCTTACCAGAATATAAGCTCCAAGGAAATGATCTTTGTTGTATATGGTTGTTTTGTTTTTGTTTTTGGTATATTTTAGTGCCTAGAAATAGCAGAAAACAAAACACATAAACAAATAGAGGGAAATAATCATCTTAAGTGCAGTATTCAAATCCTCTCATAAATAGCATGTTGAATTTTGTTTATAAAGACAGGTAGAAGTAAATAGCTGTATTAAGACCAAACAGTCCTGCTCCCTTTTCCACCCTCAAGAGATAGATTAAGGTTAAGTCTTGACGTTGATTGAGAGTAAGTCTGACCAAATGTTGAATGAATTTCTGTCCCTCTATAGGTAGCTTCACACAGAACTGTACCTGAGTGGAAGCTCATTCATTTACATTTCATTAAACTAATTCAGTAAATGATGGTGAGCCAAAGACTATGTTCTCTTGAGTCTGATCTCTTTCAGCAAAGGTGGATGGAACCATATGAAACTCTGGTTATACCCTTTGAAAATACTAAGAATCATCAGAAAAGAATACAGTGAAGTCACTGTCCAGGAGGTGCTTAATTGTGCTGAAGGACAAATAAAATCACACATACAGTATGTAATTGTATTCTTGGTAGTAGTAACTACCAAGACTGTAATTCTCGTAGTCTTGGTAACCTCTCAAAGAAACCCATAGACTTGTAGAGTTGGAAAAACTTTAAAGAGCATAGAGATAAGTGCAATACTATCGCTTTGCAGACAAGAAGACTAAGGTTCTGAGAGGTCCAGTGTCTTGGTCATAATCAGAGGGCATAGCCAGCAAGTGGCTGGAGTGAGGTGTAGGACCAAGGCCCCCACCTCCCTGGGCCAGGCTCTTCCAACTGCATGATTAAAAAACTTTAAAAATCAAGAGACCAAAGGCCCTTGCAACGATTCTATTTGAGCATGTCTTCAGTCTATACTAAACTAGCATGGAAAGATTTAAAACCAAAACAAAATGTTTATCCCCATAAGTATGTGAAGATAGGAACATTGCACCACATATATATGATTGAACAAGGACTAATTTTAAAATTCCTTTATAAGGACACTTATGTGTCTAATAAACATATGAGGGTAATAAAACTAAGTATAGCAGACCTACAGTGAGGGAAAGTACTTTTTATTCAGGCTTCTCACAAATTGAAAACAGGATAGGAGTGGGTAATGATCTCATCTTCCCCATCAGTTCTTCCCCCACAAAGCAGGGGACTCTAGAGCTATGCAGATGTACAAATCCTCTAGAGTTCTTAAAATGAAGGCATATTTTTATAGTGTCATCAGTAGCCATAAAAGCTTTGCCAGTAGTATTTATGTGCATCATGGTAACATTTTTTAAATGTTAGTTGAGGCTCTAATAAGAAATTATAAATAAGTAGTGTTTAAAAGCAGAGAATTGGTCTTCTTGAAATATCTAATTTATTTGCAAGCCAAAGGAAAAAGCGTCTCTTTAGAGACAATATCACAATATTCCACTTAAAGTCACCCAAAATGACAAAGGGAAAATCTAACTAGGGAGTCATCGACCTCATAATAGGAAGGAACTTCCTTTCAACTCCCCATTAAAGGAATATTTTTAAAGTAGGTTAGGTATATCCTTGAAACAAGAAAGTCTCTTCAGATGTCTAGTTTTTGTACCCTTCAGGCTGTTGTGCCAGTCAGCTCACTTTATCCGATTCACGGGGATCATGGCTTCGGAAAGGTGACGTGGTTAGATAAACGGCCGCTTCTGTAGATCTTTGCCTTCCTACATTTCCACCTCAGGCAGTTCTTTTACAAGCTCACTCCTTGGATAAAAATCTACAGAAGCAACTCAGAAAATATAAAATGCCTTGAAATTAGATGTTTTCTTCTTCTCTTTTCTTCTAACATCATAAACCGGAAAATGATTTTATATGTGTGCGAACATCAAGAACTATGACATGGCTCATCAAGGTCAGACAATGTAATCGGAGTTGCTAGGTAGGCAAGAAAGTCATAAGAAGAGGAACAAGTGGTACTGACATGCACGCAGAAAATCCAGGAAAGTCAAAATTTCACTTGATTTGTTGTCAACAGAAAGAGAAAGCATAAAATCAAGTATTGACCTATAAACCCCTAGAAATTTTTTCTGCTTTTAGAGAATTAGCCCAGTAGAGTCCTTCCAACACAGGGCGGAAAATACATAGATCGAAATATTTAACCTTGCCTTGAACAACTATGAAATAAAAGTGTTTATTTGAAGATTCATTTTCCTGTCACTTCGACTTGTGTTACGATGCCTAGGGCTTTAAAGTATTGGCCCACGGGAGGCCTTGAATTTGGATGCCTTAAGCCTCTATGGAAAACTTGAACCATTCTTTGAAAAAGGATTTTATTAGATATATACAATATTTTGATAAACATTTATGGAAATAAACATTACAGAATGTAAATAGCAGCACTCCTGAGCTAAAGTAAAAAGAAATGTTGTTAATCAATGGGAAAAGTAAATGCAATTTACTAGCTAAGCTATGACAATTAAAATATAAGTTCCATGCAGACAGAGATAATGTCAGTATTGTACATTATTGTATTTCTAATGCCTAGCACAATGTTTGGCCCATTGTAGAGGCTTAATAAATAATGTTTATAAAATAATTCAATAGAATAGTAGATGAAGAAACAGTCTTCCAAGTCCAAATAAAATATCCCCAGAAAACAGAAGACCAATTTGTCAGAAGGCACTTCTAGCGAGGTGAAACTCTCCTTTAAGAACAAATATTTCCCTTTGCTCTTAATATGCTTTCACCAAGGAACCATGTAGACTGTAATTAGTTCTCCTGAATTACCATGCTCAAAGGGATAGTAATTTATAACTGATTACAAGTTAATAAATTGGCTTTCTGACATAGATTAGTTCCACATCCCATGAGTCATAGGTTGTGTGAACAGGTCTTCCTAAGGTTTCTTCAGAAAGCTGAGCATGTAGGTTTTTACACTCAAGGAAATTTCACAGTTTCAGGCAGCAACCTGTAAGCCCTAAGGTAAATAGCCAGCCCACCGTACAATATCATAAAAAAATGTAATTTGTACCTTGTGGACACAACTTCCATCAGAAAAAGAATGTCTGTCATAATTCAGTGTCCTGATACATTTAGGGAACTTTAGTCAACTCTTATTTTCCTAAATTTCCACCGTACAAGGACTCAGTGAATATATATTTGATCATCAGTAAGACCTGTTAAAACATGGATTTTACTACAGTCTTCCCTTGAAGTTGACATTGTCCTAGGGGGAAAAAAATAGAATGTTTTTTTTTCATTATAAATTCCTGTTGAAATCTATCCTAATTGTATACATGCATGCATGCATGCAAACATTTATTCTTTCATTCAGCCACTATATTTGATGGCCTATGGACACTTAGTTAGCTTCTGTTATATTATTAAGCATACTGAGGTGAGGCGAATGTTGGTTAATGACAGTTTATTTGATAAATTCTAGCCAACTGTATTAGTTTGCTAGGGCTATCATAACAAAATACCACAGACACGGTAGCTTAAACAAACAGAACATTTTTGTCTCATAGCTCTGGAAGCTGGAAGTCCAAGATCAAGGTGCCAGCAGGGTTGGTTTCCTCTGAGGCCTCTCTTTTTGGCCTGCAAATGGCCACGCTCTTGCTGCCTCTTCAGTGGTCATCCCTGTGTACATGTGTATCCCTCGTGTCTCTTTTATGTGTCCAAATTTCCTCTTCTTATAAGTTTACCAGTCAAATTGGATTAGGGCCCACCTTAATAGCCTCATTTTAATGTAATCACCCCTTTTAAAGCCCTGTCTCCAAATACAGTCACATTCTGAGGTACTGGGTGTTAGGGCTTCAACATATGAATTGTGGAGCCGGGAGGGACACAATTCAGCTCATAACACTAACATGATGCTGTATTAACACAAGATGATATAAAGTATTTATTGAAGATGTAAGCTTGGAGAAGCAGTGATAGAGGTACAAAGCAGAGTCATATCTGCATGATTTAGGTAGGAGAGAGAATAGAAATCAATGAAGGCAGACATGGTAGGATAAAAGATGAGTGTTGGAAGAAAGTGACCAATAAGGGCAAAGTTAGCTCTGACTTAAATACCACA